CATCATATCATCTACATTTACATAATTACTTTTAGTTAATTATATGTATTTAGAGATCCTTTTCTTTTTACTTTCGTTTCTGAGTTCGGTCCGATCTCGGAATACGAATCTGTTGCTGAACGTAATATATGTATATAAATATAAGCGATCTAAGTACAAATTCATCTTAATTTTAAATCAATTTTTGGAAAAAGAAATGTCCATAATTTAAATGTTTGTAAAGAAAAAGATACATAAAAAATTATAAGGCAAAACTATTTTTATATTTCTCTTTCTCATCACTACACGATATACTGATTCCGAATAATTTTTCTCTAATTTTTCTCTTGTATAACTAGCTGTATTTTTAAACTGATAATTTTTTTCTAAACTCATTTTAAATTTTCGTTATAGTTTAAAACATCCTGCATGCCTCTTTTTCAACTTCTGCTCGTAACCTTTATACATGTATATATATATATATATTTTAAAAGAACGATTTATGATTTAATCATTTAATTTTAAAAAATTATAGTTGTATCATATATATAATAACACTATAATTTTTTAAAATTAAAGTCTATTCTACAATGTGCTCTTTATTTCCTGTTTCTTATTTTTTACCATTTGCTTTTTCTATTTGCAACTATTTTATCGACAATTGTATTTCTTGCTTCATATTTCTCACTCCTTTCGAAATTTATTTTTATCTCAGGCGATATAAAACAAAAAACCGGATAAAAAACAAAAAGACAAGATGTAAAAAATAGCAGAAAACAGAAAACAAAAAGCACATTGTAGAATAATTAATAATTAATGATTAAATTTAATTTAATGATTAAATCATAAACCGTTCCTTTTTAAAGAAATAAATAAAAAATATTATACAAACTTATTCAATATTACTAAAAAAAATACATAAAGAAACATGATTCTACAGTGTTTCAAAAATTTTGATGCTATGACAACCTTACATCACTTATAATAAATTGTTTTCTTTTTTCTATTTAATTCAAATCAAAGCTACAATAAAAATTATTGTTATATGATGAATTAAATAAAAATTTAAATTGTTAAATAAAAATTTAAATGTTTTCTTAATCTGCTTTTATTTAATTATTCAGATCTCAAAGATACTATATCTATCTTCTGTAGGTATTTATATATAT